CGAGACATGATGGAAAAAAGAATAGTATCAGGCTGATGCACTTGTAAGGGGTTTACCATTTAATACTCTATTAGGGGTATGATTAATGAGAAAAGTAGCTGTAAGAACCGCCATGTGCCAGTATGACTTTGGCACATTCATACCACTTAAAAGACATTGAACAACTGACATTAGTTGGTGGTTTTACGCTTGCCACACCATTCTGTTCAGGGGTATATGGATAAGTAAGTTGATGAAGAATACCCCGTTGGTTAAGTTGAGACTGAATTTCTTGGAAACGTATTCACGACCATTGTCAGACCTAATATTCCTAACAACAGTTTTATATTGAGTTTTGATCATTTGGAGGAATTGAGTGAACAAGGGAAAAACTTCAGATTTCTTTTTAAGTAAATATACCCATATGCAGCGGGAATAATCATCAATGAATGTGACTTAATAACGATGCCTCGAAAAAGCAGTAACAGGAGAAGGACTAGACACATCAGAATGTATGAGATCAAACATAGTAGGTGCGCGATGCATATGAGAGATATAAGTAGTTCTAGTATGTTTAGAAAGCTCACAAATCTCACATCGAAACTTATTATCTTTACAAGCCGTTGGTAATGAAGGGAAAAACAGACATAAATACTGAAAGTTTACATGCCCATGGCGAGCATGCCAAAATTTAAATTTTGAAAAGAAAAATCATAAGATCTAGAAACTGGAAGAACAGAGGCTTGAAGCAAGTGGAGGAGGTGTCGGTGGAGGATCCCTAAAGTAGTAGACGCCATCGTGTTCATATCCTCTGCCAAAAATTCTCTTCAAAAAACACAGTTGTGAGGAAAGAAAATCACTGTATAGTTTAGTGATTTGGCAAGTTTGCTAACAGATAGAAGATTAAATGCAAAGTTAGGAACATGAAGAACAGATGGCAAAATAATATCAGGGGATAGATGAACATCTCCTTTACTACGAATAATGGTGGTTGACTTATCGACTAGACTAACAGCTTGATTAACAGGGGTAACGGGAGTAGAAAATTATGACAACTCACTAGTCATGTGATCATTGCTCTGAAATCCAGTACCGAAGTAGGTTTTCCCGCTTTAACATGAAAAGCAGAAGGAGTACATGTAGCTATAGTAGCCGTGGGAATAGAAGAACCAGCCGTGGTAGATAAAGCTCCAAACTGCTCCTCATAACCAATTTGGGACTGTAACTGATTGAAGTCCTGAAAAGGTGGTCTTGGAGGAGTTGAACAGGAGGGACAACAATCTGTGAAGTAGTATACCCACCAATAGTATCAACTATTGTGGCAGTGCGGCCACGGCCAGAAGGACGATTGCGAGAAAATTTCTGCTTCAACAATCCTTTACATGACCTGCGGCTCCACAATGTTGACAAATAACCTTTCCCTCTGAAAGTCTAGAATTTGCAGCAAGAGCCATCTAATTAACTGGAGTCTCTGGTAAAGCTACTGGCTGAGAGATTTGACGTCTATGCTCCTCATGGTCAACAGTAGCTAAGGCATCGTATAAATCTGGCATAGGAGAGGTGTTTATGATCTGAGTTCTAAGAGCATCATACTCAGATCGTAAACCCATAAAAAACTGGTAGGTATGTTGGCGGTCAAGTTTGTTGACCAAAAGAGTTGCAACTTCTTCAGAGAAATCGGAGAGAGGTTCATATTGTGCTAATTCTTCTGACCTAGACTGGAGGTACCCAAAATACTCTGATACTGACAGCTTGAGTGTTTCCTGAGATACATGAGCAATCTCTTGATAGAGTTCAAAGATACTAGCGTCATTGTGGGAATGGGCATACATCTTGTTAAGGGCTTACCACAGATGAAAAACGGAAGTGTGAAACGTGAACATATTATAGATATGAGTTGAAGAACCAACCCAGAATGGTGCACCTGTCCATGTCCCATGCAATATATTTTGTATCCGTCTCTCCCAGTTCCTTGACTAGACCCAAAATTCAACCAGTTTTGCCTTTCCCTCCAATATAGAGTTGAAGAGAACGGGACCAACATATGAAGTTGCGCCCATTCAAGAGCACACTAGTAACCCGTTGTGCCGGAGTATGATGTGCCGAAGATAAAGTATGCTGGACCGAGGATAAAGTGTCCTTTGGTTACTAGAATCAGTCATAGTACCAAAATAAGGCTAGTCCACATGTCAAAGCAGGAGGAAAGAGAAGAAAATAAGGCCGGAAAAATTGGCGCTTTCCTCCAAATATGCTGCAGAACAAACAACTGCAGCCCACAAAGAAAAAAAAAAACACCAAAAGGACCCTTAGGTCAAAAAAAACCTAAGGGAATTCTCCTAAAAAAGGAGTAAAAAACAGAGGGTTACCTGAGGGGTCTGGGGCAAGGGCTGGGAGGATATGGAGGTGCGCCGGAGGTGAGGCAAAATAAAGAGAGGGAGAGAGAAGGTGACGGCATTGGGGAGGAAGATGGGGACGCGAAGGTTTTTGTTTTGCTCTGATACCAAAAAGAAGTTTTTGGTTTTGGCGTACTCAAACTGAGAGCCAAGAGCTATATTTATATACAAGAATAGGGTGCAAAGAAAGGAAACCAAATCAAAGAAAAACATGAAATATGCGGAAATCTAGGTGATCCCATGATTACGGGGATCTTATCTACGTGATCCCATGATAATAGGGATCTTACATAAAACACTTAATAAAAGGCTGAAAATAGAGTAATAGGCCAGTGGCCTAGCGGTACCAAGCCCCTTCTTCTCAAAGAGAGGTCAGGGATTCGAGCCTCCGTGGAGGCATGTGTGTGTGAGTACCCAACTAGGAAAAAAAAAAAAAAAAAGGCTGAAAACAGCTAATAAAAATAAAAACTCTTATTTGGCTGATCTCACCGTTTCCTAGATTTGGCTATCACTCAGTGGAACCGGTTCCAAAACTCTTAAACCGGTTCGAACGTTCCATTAGCCAAAATATTAAAATCATTAGTTTCCCAAAAAACTTCACGTTATCAACACGTGATCAGACTCCACAGAAAAACACAACACAATACTCACACATGACTTCTGCCACTCACACTCTAGACAATGCAATGTGAGTTAAAATCAAGGAACTGTGCTAATACATGCTTCCAAAATGGGCAGCCAGCAAGAATGACTTTCATATAGACATTTTGACAAACGCATAGCATGCTAGCACATAACTAAGACAATTGTACATGTTGAATCCAATTATAACATCAAGATAGAACAATTCATCCATTTACATAATTTCCAGCACTTAAATATAACTTTCAGCACTTTAAATATAATTGCCAGCACCTATACATAACCTAAATGGGATTTTCCACAATTAATCTAAATTTTCAGCAATAAATCTTAATTTCCAGAATTTCCAGCAACTAATATATATAATTTCGAGCATGGATTTATAAGTTTAAGCACTTAAACATCAACATGTATACATTTATATATGTCTACACTAGAATTTACAACATAAAAGTATACTAGTATACATATTAACTTATGAATCATGCTAGAACTCAAGTAGGAAAGCTAATACACCAACTACATCACAATTAACATGAATTACAAGCATGATAATAACCCCATCAGCATTGTGTGCTATAAATATGTCTACACTAGCATGCTAGATAAGGAGAAAACACACAATCACTTACAGAAACCAAGGAAACCTTATTAGTTAGACACCCCCTACCCCACTTAAGAGGAAAAAACCACAATTCAGCCCAACAAGAAGATGATCCAAATTGAAAATAAAAACCATAGGATTGTAGCTCTTGATGTGGTCTCCAATATTTCCTTATATGACTTTGTCTAAATCTCAAAGGAAGCTAATGATACATGGCCATGAAATTCCAGATTTAGAAAAGGAAAGTATATAGAGATGAAGGTGTCTGCTGTCTGCCGGAGGATGAGGCTGAAAATGCCTTATTTCTTCCTCTCTTCACTTATATACTAGATATACACAATTTCCCTAAAAGTCAAACAAGGGCCCCACCAAATTCCCTCAAATTACAAGCATGCCATGTAGGATAAGCATCTATAAACATATGCATATAATGTCGTACAACGGATCCACCATGCTATACATGTCTTCACATAAAATAAAATAAATGGTGTCGGGAATAATTCCCACACACACAATCCAACCTGGCCCCACCACGAACCCAAAGTGTAGGGAAATTATCTTAAACGCATTTCTAAGAGTCTGTGACTCTAAGAAAAGCCTAAAATAATCCCAAAAATCCCATTACACACATCCCCATCCCATTAAAATATGTAATGCACATGAATGAAACATGCGAGAAAAGGAAAAATAAAAACATGATCATTACACCAACATTATATAAGTAATAACAAATAAGCCCCTGATAGCAGTTACATGATGTTTTTCAAAGTCTCAATTGTTATGTGCAGCCTCTGTGACAATGGTTTATATTAGGAATGCATTGCTTTAGATATGAGCATATACTTCTTTAATAATTTATAGGTTCACGAGCATTTAACACCTTTGCAGTATGCCTATAGGCTTTGAAAACCCCCTAATGTTTATTTTAGGGGTGAACATAGACCTCCCCTCATTCATCCGTTAATGGAGTGATAAAAATACTAAAATGTCCTTCCTACAATTAAAATAAAAAATAGTAAAAAATTCAGTTAATGTAAAATGACTATTATGGCATTTATTAAACGACCCCGTTAGGAGAGGATGAGATTTATATAAAAAGGGTAAGGGCATTTTCGGAATCAAATAAGGGCATTTTCGGTATTTAATACAATTAACTAGTCATGTGCGAGAAACTTGGTTTGTTAACGGTACATTTCTAACCGTTGACTGTCGAAAAACCCTAGTTTACAATATTTTTAAATTTTTACGGCAGTTATATACCCAAAGTAAAAAAGGGGTGTTATTTGCTCAAAAAGTAAACCTTCTGGGTGTTTTAGATACTTTGCTCTAATTTATATTAATTGTTGTTGTGTCCAATGATTTTCTACTTCCTTGGCTTCTAGATATCAGGTGGCTGGAGACACACCATGGCACTGACATCTGATGGAAAACTATATGGTTGGGGATGGAACAAGGTCGATGATTTTAGTTTCTCTCTCTTTGCATCATTTTGTCTTTGCTGGTTTATTTGATTCTTTTATTTATTTGTTTTTTTAAAATATTTTTTTCAAAGGGCATATAGAATTAAATGATTTTTAGTGTTGATATTTGTTAAGGATTATTATTTTTAGTTGCTGGAGTATTAAGAAAATTTTCAGCAATAGCACATAAAGTATATTTTATATCATTGAAAACTCAAAGGATCAACTTGTCATTTCTTTTTCTTATTGGTGAATTTATTCATCTTAAAACTATAGCTGAGATTGATAAATTAGATATATAAGGTATACAGATAGCTAAACGCTATCTTAGCAGTAAAATTGTAAAATTGAGCTTCATCAGATTAAAAAATTAGTGGAGAAATAACAAATTTTAATATCTTTACATGTTTTGAAGAAAGACTTGAATTCAATTACTCCGCTCAACAATAGTATTTCTTTGCGATTCTGGTAGGAGGGTCTTAACTTCATTTTAACTAGATGTTCCTCTTATTTTAACTTGTGTTACATGGACTCTCCTAATCTCTTTAACATTCCCATGTTAAGACGACCTGACATTGGTATGGGTATGAGATATGTGTCCAACACAAGTTCCCAAATAGGGCACCTAGATCCTCTAATTTTGATGATGAAAGAAGAAGAAAAGTTCAAATTATTAGCAAGCAAGGGTTTCTACTTCTCAGATTGATGGAAATATTTTTCTTTCCGCCATATTCCATTTAATTTCAATTTATTTTTGTATATTTTTGTAAAGAATAATGGCATCATAACTTACACTATTATGTACCATATTATGGTTTTAAATGTGCAAGACATGTCCATGTATTTGTATCCTCTGTTACATGGACTCTTCAAAAGTAGTGAAGTACCCGTGTTGGACACATATCCCTCAGACATGGGTATGGGATATGTGTCCGACACTTTTGGTTGGACATGCACTTAAAAAGAATATCCAATCATTCAATTACATTATATTATTACTTTAAAATGAGTTAAATGTCTATATTGAACATTATATTAGATAAAAACAATACTTTACTCTAGAAAATAAAATAAAATAATTAATAAAATGAATATTTAGCCGTGTCCGTGTGTCCTTCCATTTGGAGATTTGACACATCCGACGCATGGATACATACCTGTGTCCGACACCTGTACCCGAGTTTATGTAATATAGTCTATATCTAAGTTTTGGACATATTTCAACTCGAGTCCACTTATCCAAAGGTTTGGAATTCAAGGAGTTTCGATACTTGGACGCATACCCACACCCAGTACATATATACAAGTCCATGTAATATATAGATCCTAAAAAATTTCATCTGTATAGAGTATTTCAGTCTTTGTGACCTTTGTTGGATGATCAACTTCAAGAAGTACCTATAGTCTATTTTCTGTCATTTCCTCTTCAATTGGCACTACCAATAGTTTCTTACAGTTCTATTCATTCCTGACTCATTCTTTTTTGTCTGCCAAATAGCCATCTAAACATCTACAATTTAGCCTTTCTTGTTGTTAAAAATGTTTTTTATTGCTCAACAATTTATACCAAACACTATAGCTGTGTTCTAATATTACCCTACCAATTTCATTAATAAATGTTCATCAACTATGCAATTTGTTCTACCTTAATTCTAGCAACCTCCCTTCTAATCTTTTTTCTCAATGAAATGTGAACCTACATATATAATGAAATTCTTAAGACAATCTTCATTTCTCCCCATCTGTATTGATAATCTTGTTAGATTGTTATTCAACTACGGTGCAACTAATGTTAAACAAAATTGATTTGATACCTTATCTCCAAACTTCTATTTTAGAAGAATTTACCCCAGATTTGCATCAATAGTTACTATCATCAGTAAATAAAAACTCTATAAGATAAATGCTCTAATTTGGTATTGTTGTAAAAGAAGAAGTTTTGGGTTGTGGCTTACTCAAACCAAGAGCCAAGATCTATAGTTATATACAAGAATAGGGTACGAAGAAAGGAAACCAAATCAAAGAAAGACAGAAAATATGCCAAAATCTACATGATCCCATGATTATGGGGATCTTATCTATAGGATCCCATGATTACGGGGATCTTATCTACGGGTTCCCATGATTATAGGGGTCTTACATAAAACACTTAATAAAAGACTAAAAACAGCTAATAACAATAAAAATAATAATAATAAAGATATTTCAACACTCCCCCTCAAGCTGGAGTGAAGGTATCAATCAAGCCCAGCTTGGTAATCAAGGAATGAAGCAAAGTTGGACCACAGATTTGGTGAGCACATCGGCTGACTACTTAGAGGAACGAACAAAGCACGGCTTGATAATTCCCGAACGAACCTTCTCTCTGATAAATGGATGTCCACTTCTATATGTTTAGTCCTCTTATGAAGAGCAAAATTTGAAGCAAGCATGATGGTTGACTTATTATCACAAAACAAATCTGAGGACTGTTTTTCTCCTAGTCCTAGCTCCTCCAAGAAATATCGAAGCCAGAGAATCTCACAAATACCCTGAGCCTTGGCACAATACTTAGTCTCTGCTGAAGATCTCGAAACTACAAGTTATTTCTTACTTTTTCAGGATATAAGATGGTCTTCATAAAAAGTACAGAAGCCAGATGTGGAACGTTTGTCAGTCTTGGACCCAGTATAGTCTGCATCACTAAAACAAGATAGCCTAACCTGCTTGCTAGAAGAATATAACAATCCAAGTCCAGGACAGGACTTACTATATCGAAGAAAATGATATATCGCATCCATATGAGCTGTACGAGGAGCATGCATAAATTGGCTTAAAACACTAACTGCAAAAGCCAAATCAGGATGGGTGGTGGTAAGACAAATCAATCTTCATACCAAGAGATGATACTGCGAGGGATCAGAAAGGAGATCTCTGGACTCAACCGAGATCTTCAGATTAGGATCTATAGGATTGGAAGCAGGTTTACACCCAAGCGTACTCGTGTCTTGAAGAAGATCCAAGACATACTTCCTTTGCGATAAAGAGATACCCTGCTTAGATTTAGCAACCTCAATTCCCAAGAAATATCTCAGCTGCCCAAGGTTTTTCACGTCAAAAGCTTTAACCAATTGAAGCTTTACTTGAGCAGTCCTATGGATGTCATTGCCAGTAATGATGATATCATCAACATAGACAACCAGAATGATACATCGACCATTGGAGGAAAGGTGGATAAAACATGTATGGTCAGAATGGCATCTAACAAACTCCATGGATAGAATTATATCACTGAAGCGGCTGAACCATGCTCTAGGAGATTGTTTTAATCCATACAAAGACTTCTGCAATCGACAGACCTTTCAAGCATACTCCCCCTCAGCCCGAAAACCGGGTGGAGGATCCATATAAATATTCTCAAGTAAATCACCGTTAAGGAAAGCATTCTTAGCATTAAGCTGATGAAGAGGCCAATTGTGAGAGGCAGTCAGGGAGACAAGCAACGAACTGAGGTCAATTTAGCCACTGGAGAGAAGGTATCATTAAAGTCTTTACCAGGAATCTAAGCAAACCTTTTGGCCACCAAACAGGCTTTATACCGATCAATAGAGCCATCAGCCAAATATTTAACACTGAATACCCATTTGCAACTATGATATTGTGGCCCGAATTGGTGCTGGGTCGCGTTGCGAACCACTTATAACCCGACGACCCGTTGGATGAGGTTTGTGTGGGCCAATTTTTGATCCCTTTTTTGCTCATGGGATGTGGACCCTAATTAGTCTTTTGTAGCCCTATATATAAGGGTGCTTAGGGTTTGGAGTGTGGTAAGAGAGACTATAAAATTCGTACAGAAATAGAGCGAAGGGCTGAAAACTTATAATCTCCGATTTGACACATAGTGAAAACTTTTGCCGGATCACAACCGTAGACGTAGGCTGTTGCTGAACCACGCATAAATCTTTGTGTTCTTTATGTGGTGTGTTTACTTTTCTGTTGTGATTCTTGATTCAACTTAGGTTTGTGCGTTTGTCATAATAGCAACCAACACTCTTTTCACCAGGAGGGAGAGATACAAGCTCCCATGTTTCATTATGCTGCAAAGCATCCATGTCTACCTTCATAGCAAACATCCAATTGGGATTCCGGAGAGCCTCAGACAACTTTCTGGGAATGGAAATGGAATCATGTTTGCCTAGAAAGGCTTGGTAAGACCCTGAAAGACCATTATAAGTTATATACTGCGACTGCGAAATAGGATGATCAGTACTACAAGCAAATCCAAATCGAGCAAGGGGTTTGCGGTCCCAAGTGGGATACCGAGACTTAGGAATAGGAATAAGGTCAGGGCAATGTAAAGGAGAGAGAGATGTACTTGAACTTGAATCTGAGGAGGATGAAGGCAGTGGAGGCAGAGCACGAGGGTGGCGTGAATAGACCTGCAAGGGGGGTGAGGAAACCACAAGAGAAGACTCTTCTTGACAAATAGGAAGAGGATGGGCAATAGGAGAAGCCTCTTGATCGAGAGTAGAAGTTTCTTGCAAGATAGTGTTAGAACCATAAAAAGGGGTATGCTCATGAAAGGTGACATCATGAGAGTGATATATGTGATCAAGAGAGTGATACATGTGTTTGTGTACTGGATGATAACACCGGTAACCTTTTGACATGGAAGAGTATCCTTAAAAGATACATTTAATGGCCTTGTCATCCAGTTTAGTACGAGAAGGGCTACGATTCTGAACAAAACATGTACATCCAAACACCTGAGGTATGATGGAAAAAAGAGTAATATTAGGTTGAAGCACTTGTAAGGGGGCCTTACCATTTAAAACTCTACTAGGGGTACAGTTAGTGAGAAAAGTAGGTGTAAGAACCGCCATGTGCTAGTACGACTTTGGTACATTCATACCACTTAAAAGACATCGAACAACTGACATTAGTTGGCTGTTTTTACGCTCTGCAACATCATTTTGTTCAGGGGTACATGGGCAAGTAAGTTGATGAAGAATACCCTGTTGGTTAAGTTGAGACCAAAACTCATTGGAAACATATTCACAACCATTGTCAGACCTAATATTTCTAACTACAGTTTTATATTTAGTTTTGATCATTTGGAGGAATTGAGTGAACAAGGGAAAAACTTCAGATTTCTTTTCAAGTAAATATACCCATGTGTAATGGGAATAATCATCAATGAATGTGACATAATAACAATGCCTCGAAAAAGCAGTAGCAGGAGAAGGACCCCACACATCAGAATGTATGAGATCATACATACAAGGTGCACGATGCATATGAGAAATATAACTAGTTCTAGTTTGTTTAGAAAGCTCACAAATCTCACATTGAAACTTATTATCCTTCCAAGCCGTTATTAATGAAGGGAAAAGTAGACATAAATACTGAAAGTTTACATGCCCAAGGTGAGCATGCCATAAACTTAAAGTCTGAAAAGAAAAATCGTAAGACTTGGAAACTGGAAGAGCAGAGGCTTGAAGCCTTGAAGCAAGTGGAGGAGATGTCGGTGGAGGATCCCTAAAGTAGTAGAGGCCATCGTGCTCATATCCCTAGCCAAAAATCCTCTTTGAGCACAGGTCCTTTAAAACACAGTAATGAGGAAAGAAAATCACTGCACAGTTTTGTGATTTGGCAAGTTTGCGAAATCACAAATATCACGGGATAGATGAACATCTCCTTCGCTACGAATAATGGTGGTTGACCCATCAGCTAGACTAACAGCCCGATAAACAGGGGTAACGAGAGTAGAAAATAATGATAACTCACCAGTCATGTGATCATTGGCTCTGGAATCCAGAACCCAAGTTGGTTTTCCCGCTTTCACATGATAAACAGAAGGAGTACCTGTAGCTATAGTAGTCGTTGGAGTAAAAGAGCCGACCCTGGTAGATAAGGCGCCGAACTGCTCCTGAAGATGACCAATCTGGACTGTAACTGTTTGAAGCCTTGAAAAGATGGTCTGGGAGGGGTTGAATCAGGAGGGACGACAATCAGTGGAGTAGCATACCTACCAATAGTATCGGCTACTGCGGCAGTGCGGCCACGGCTTGAAGATAAAATGTCATTTTGGCTACTAGAATCAATTATAGTACCAAAATAAGGCTGGTCCACACATCGAAGAGGGAGGAAAGAGAAAAATAAAGCCGGAAAAATCGGCGCTTTCCTCTATATCTGTTGCCGAACAAACACAGACAACCCACAAATTTAAAAAAAAAAAAACAGAAGGACCCTTAGATCATGAAAAAAACCTTAGGGAATTTTCCTAAAAAAGGAGTAAAAAACAGAGGGTTATCTGAGGGGTCTAGCGCAAGGGCTAGGAGGAGATGGAGGTGCGTCGGAGGTGAGGGAAAATGGAGAGAGGGAGAGTGAAGGTGGCGGCATTGGGGAGGCGAAGATTTTTGTTTTGCTCTGATACCAAAAAGAAAAAGTTTTGGGTTTTGGCTTACTCAAACCGAGCGCCAAGATCTATATTTATATACAAGAATAGGGTACAAAGAACGGAAACCAAATCAAAGAAAGACAGAAAATATGCCAAAATCTACGTGATCCCATGATTACGGGGATCTTATTTACGGGATCCCATGATTACGGGGATCTTATCTACGTGATCCCATGATTATAGGGATCTTCTATAAAGCACCTAATAAAAGGCTAAAAACAGCTAATAAATAATAATAATAATAAAGATTTCAACAGTTGTAAAAAATAAAATATAAATGAAGAGAGAAATAAAACAACAAGAACACAGAGATATTTAGTGGTTAAGCCACTAGGACCTACATCCAAGGCACAAAGAGCCCAAAGGGCTTCATCACTAAAGCAATATTCTCTCTTAATCTGTGAAGTACACATGGCTCACACTTACTTTTTGAGACGTGGGAAAGATAGATAAATTATGATTTTTTTTTCTATTTATTATTATAATTATTTTAGGGATCTTTTAATTTAGGATATTTCGATAATAAGTATTTTAGGGTTTTATTCAGGGTAGAGGATTTGATTATGGTTTTCCTTGATGTCTATTTATATGTGGGTTAAGAACATTGTCAAGGCACCTTTTTATGATTGATTATTGAATATTTGAGATTAGGTGATTTCTTCTCCCTCATTCTTCTTCTCTGTCTCCCAATCTCTTTCTTGTTCTCTTTGAAATTGTGACTTGGAAGCGCCCCTACCTCCTCCTGCATCAACTACTCTCAAAGATACTAAACTAACTGATACTATATTGGCAAAACAAATAGTGATAACATAAATACCAATAAAAGAGTAATAGTAACCCACATGTAAGTCTAATTCTTACTTTCTTCAAAAACCAATGAATTATTCAATATTCCAACAACTAATAGAGAATTTTATAGATTTGATTATGTTTTTTTTTTTTTTTAGGAAAAAAATATTCTCAGGGATTGAAGTAGAGAGTACACTTATAGTCCAGTAGACTTACACCTTATTTCATTGGAGCCTGATTCTCTAATGTGCATAATAAGGAGGCTTAAATCAGGACCTAGAGGATTGAATTAGAGATACTGATTGTTATGCTTGATTGGTCCTTTTCAGTTAATTTAATTCATTTTGCCTTTATCTGCTCTAGCTAAAATTTATGTTTTGTTTTTTTTTTTTTTTTTTTTTTTTCTTTTTGTCATAAAACTTGCATGTTGCTTTGGTTTAAACCTCTCTCTTTCATGTGCAGTTTGGACAGGTTGGCATTGGTGATAATGTTGATCATAGCTCTCCTGTGCAAGTTAAATTTCCCGACGACCAGGCACATTCTTGTTCCTGTAGCTTAACAAATTGGTTGACACGGTTCATTATCATATCTTTTCCTTGTCTGATTATACTCTTTTACTTGCAATGTTTTCTTTAAAAAAATGGCAGAAAGTGGTCCAGATCTCATGTGGATGGAGGCACACACTTGCTGTTAGTGAAAGAAATAATGTATTTTCTTGGGGAAGAGGTACAAACGGACAGCTCGGGAATGGGGAATCTGTTGACAGGTAATAGATTTAACAACTGGACCATTATTTGAATTCCAAGGGTTATTTATTTATTTATTTTTATTATTAATGTAATTAACACTAGATTGGGACGTACCCATAATGGCTAGATCATGAATTTGAGTGGACTAGATATATTAGGTTTATGTACCTCTGGTTATGAATAGTATTACAATAACAAACAAAATATTTTCCCAACTATTGGGGTTACGCATAATTCTGTGTCTATATATTATTGTACCAGTTGAAATTATATTTTAGGTTTTGGAGGATAGGGTTTGAGAAGAAAAGAGGAGAATAGAGAATTTAAGAAAGGGTTGTCGTATGCCATTGACATCTCTACTCCTATGTATTATATTAGTCAAAAATATAAGTTAATTGTGAGAATATTTCCACATATTCCAACGCTCCCCCTCAAGTTTGTGCATAGATATATCTTTTGCCCAACTTGCCTAAAATAGAATGGAGCCTACACTAGAATGGAAAGAATTACAACCCAAACCCGTGGTGAATACACCTACCAATTGTTCTTCTTACTTCACAAAAGGCATACAAATCACTCCATTGTTCAACTTTTCCTTGATAAGTGCATGTCAATCTCAATATGATTCATTCGATCATGTTGAAAACACTAATGGCTGCTTTATTGTCACTATTAAGTCTCTTAGGACCATCATCCCTGATACCCAAATCACTCATCAAGGTCTGAATCCACATGAGTTTACATACCCCATGAGCCACAAACTTGTATTCTGCTTCTGCACTAGACCGAGCCACTACTGATTGTTTCTTGCTCCTCCAAGTAACGAAACTTTCCTCCTATAAAGCTGCAATAACTTGTGGACTGTCTATCCTTAATTGTGTCTGCTCAATCCGCATCTGTAAAATTCTCTTACTTGAAATGTCCATGACTGGATAATAAAATCCCTTTGCTAGGAGCAGCAGGCTTCAAATATCCCATAATGCAATATACAGTCTCTAAATGAGTGTTGCAGGCGCCGTGCGTAAATTGGCTAGTAACACCCACCGTTTATGCTATGTATGGTCTAGTGTGAGATAGAAGATATATAAGTTTCCCAACCAATCTCTGATACCTCATCTTGTCCACTTTTTCTTCCTCACCATTTCAAAGACGATGATTCATCTCAATAGGAGAGTTTTCCAGTTTACAATCTAACATACCTATCTCTTCTAGAAGGTTAAGAATATATTTCCTTTGAGAGATAAAGATGTCCTTTTCTGATCCTGCAACCTCTATCCCAACAAAATGTCTTTAAATTTCCCAAGTCTTTGATCTCAAATTCCTAGGGCAAGCGAACTTTTAACTTGGACACCTCCTCAACATCATTTCCGGTCACCACAATGCCATCCACATAAACAATAAGAACAATGATCTTGCCCTTAGTTTGCTTTATGAACATGGTATGATCAACTTTATTTTACTTGTACCCAAGCTCAGATGGCCCTGTAAAATCTGTCAAACCAAGCTCTCAAATACAAGCCATGAAGTGCCTTCTTTTAATTTGCATATGTTCCTTTCAGTAGCCATAGAAGAGAAGCCTGGTGGAACCTCCATAAAGTCTTCCTCGAGATCTTCATGGAGAAATGCATTCTTCACATCTAGTTGTTAAAAGCTCCACCCTAAATTGGCTGCACATGACAAAAGCACTCGCGCGCGCCGGGCGCGGGGGGGGGGGGGGGGGGGTTTGGGGGTTATGAGCTTTTTTTCTTTCTTTGATCAATATAATGTGATAAGGATAATGACTGTTTGAAGAAGCTTACAATCACTCATAAGTACTTAGTGCATTTATAAGGAAAACCCTCTCAATAGGGAAAAATTTTGGTTCTTGGTCTCAGCCAATAAAGTCTCCACTAGTTGTATGCAAGTAGTTACGCACCTTTGTACAAGATGAAACACTAGCTTTTACAATCTCTACACACACACTAGCACCACTAAGTGCACTCTGCACTCCTCTGCTTGGACCCTGCAAGCTCTTACAACTCACCAAATACATATAAAAAGACGTATTACAAAAATACTCAAGCTATTACACAAGATAGGAGTGATACACAAGCTTAAAGTATCAACCACAACAACTGTTCTTATTCTACAACAACTAGGGTTTGAAGGGTAAATATGGAATTTCGTGTACCTTCAAACTCAGATATGAATTCCAAAATTTTATATCTCCAGTACAAACATGCTCAGATAATAATCATAATGAGTATAGCATGTATGAACAATCATAGCAATGATATAGGCTCAATTCTGCAGAACCTTCAAAAACTAGGGTTTCGCAATGTCAAATTTTGTGTTGACCTTAATTTTGTGCAAACCTTAACTTCAACAACCTTGATTCAACTATTAAATCTTGCTCAGACGATAATATTGCAACTTATAGCAAGATATAGTGAAAATAAGTTCAGATCAACAAGCTAAACCAGTAAAATAGGCTAAAACACATTACTAAGACATCAAAATCAAATTCAGCTATAAGATGGTCACAAACATGCTTTCTGCAGATTTAAAGTAGTAAGTTACACTTGCCATAACCTTGTCTTGGCACCACAGCTTGCTCATACCAAATTCAGACCTCCAAACCAGCTTCTGCACCAGCAAAATCACAACAACAGGCCTCTATTTCGTTTGCTACTCTTGTGTTCACTCTGATTGTATTTTTGAGCTCAAATCAAGCTTTGATCATTATAAACAATCTCAAAAATCTTTGTTCATATATAGCTCTTTGGTCTCACACAATGTAGCTTGCCTTAGGGTTTGTCAAGAAGGCTTAAACCCTAAACAATACTATAAAAGTATATATATAGTAGCCCTTGAATACAAATCCTATCTCAAAGAGGAAATATATCTGGAACCAATATCCAATCATTGGCCACGAAATAATATGTAATTCTCTCTGTGAATGAACCATAATACCCCTGCGACCTTTACAGAATTTGTCTTCTTGCAAGCAAGCTAATTGACAGCTTGTGTGTGTATATGTATATGAATATATATCAAGCTTAATTATTAAGCAATGAATAACAACCTGCATCTTCTCACACTATGACCACAAGACACGTGTCACAAGAATGCTCAGTCTTGGTAGTGATCTAACTCTCCCCATTTACCACGTAGAGTGTGGTAATATGTAGCAAGAGTTTGGTCTTCCTGCTTGAATCTTGAAATCTGTTGTTGGAGTTTATACAGGTTTGCAAAATTACCGACCGAGGAATATGTCTTTTCCACAGCTGCCCATAACTCTTTAGTTGTTTTCACAAACAGAAACCCTTTGCTGATCTGTGTCTGCATTGACTGCAACAACCACGTCATAACTAGTGCATTATTTGCACTCCACTCTTTGAATTTAGGATCACTTTTGAAGGGATACATGACAGTCCCTTCGATATAGTCGATCATCCTACGACCAATGATATGCATACGAGCAAATTGAGCTCGCTCCATATAGTTTGTGTCATCCAGCCTAACAGTCGTAATACAAAAGCCTGGGTGGTGATCACTACTACCTCCCAATACTGGAGTTAAACTAAGAGAAGACCTAGCTTTTTTTGTAGTCTCCTCTGAGCCAGACATTTTATCAAACAATTTCTGGGTATGCAATCCTCATAAACAAAAGTAGCAACAAAATACGTAGAGAACCACCTCTCTAACACACAAACTTCAATTAGTAAGATTACCGTCTTCTGATATGCATAAAAATGCAACCGCACAAACCCTAGAAAGCAATAAAGTAGACCATATCAAAATCGCGAACGACGAAGAAAAAGCCGTTGTTGCAGAACCCCGCGAAGACAAAAAAAAACCAATCGAGACTGCCTTGCAAACAAATCCCATCTTGAATCTCTTCAATACCCTTCACACTAACTAGGATTTACACAACTTGCCCTAGGGTTTCAACTACACACCTAGAGCTTTACAAACCATGCTCTGATACTATGTTGACTTTAAGATATAATCAAATCAAGAGTAAGTGATAAAGAAGAAGAAGAAAAAGAGTTGAAAGCAGATGAGAGAAAGAGAGAGAGATGGGGAAAAAGGGAAAGAATGAAAGAATACTTTTAACCTTACACCACATTCTATTTATAATAACAAGTTTTAGAAATTACACATAAGCCCCAACATTATACAAGTAATAACAAATAAGCCCCTGTAAACTATTCATGGTCCAACTCGAGGGGAGTATTGAAGATTTGATGGAGGAATCAGTGGAGGAAAATCTTCTAGTAATTTATGTTGTTTCCTATTATTGAAGATTTACTGTTACTAGATGAATCAATGGAGAAAAATCCTCCTTGTTTCCTAATTTATTTCTCTTTCCATTTTCATAATTTATTCTCTCATATAAAGGAGCCTCCACTATTGTATTGTGTATGAGTTGAGAGAGCATTATAAAAGTGATGTAGCCCTTTGGTCTCTTTTTGCCATGGACGTTGGCCCTAGTGGCAGAACCACGTATTTCCAACCTTGTTTTTCTCTTTCCTTCCTCTTTGACGTGTGGACCAGCCTTATTTTGGTACTATGAGTGATTCTAGTCGCCAAAAGGACACTTTATCTTCAGCATAGCATACATCAGCGCAGTGGGTTACTAGTGTGCTCTTAAATGAGCGCAACTTCGTATCTTGGTCTCGTTCTCTTCAACTCTATATTGGAGGGAAAGGGAAAACTGGTTGGCTTTTGGGTCTCGTCAAGGAACCGGAAAAGACGGATATACTAAATATATTGCATGGGACACCGATAGATGCACCATTCTGGGTTGGATCTTCAACTCAATGGAGGAGCGTATCCTATGAAGCATGGCCACGTGTCATAGGGATGCCGTACTAGTGTCGGACACCACGCATGTCCCTGCCTCGGACACGTGTCTGACACTCTTTCACTGTGTCCTATTTTTTTATTCATTTTTTCAAGTCGGACACACCAGCCAAGACACGCCGAGACACCGGAGGACACCGTAGTTCAGATTCTTCTTTAAAAGAAAGAG